TTGATTGTCTAGTGCTGGAATCAGGGGTGTGAGTGCTACACCTGCCCTAGAGGGTGGTAGCCTGCAATACAATGTAAGGAAGGAAAAGAGGCTTGTTCTTCCCGCTTTTGCTCTTGCTGCTTTTGTTGTCTTCTGATCATGAACAGTTGTTCTTTTGCCATGCCACCCTGCTTTGGAGCCAGCTGATTATGGACTGAAACATCCACAAACTGTGAGCTAAATAAACCTTTCCTTTTTTAAATTTTGGGCATCAGATATTTTGGCTCAGCAATGAGAGAAAAGTAATTAAGATAGGTGGGAACCCACTGGGTTGCATTATCCATAAGCACACAAGCAGATCCCCTCCTCCAGAACTTTACTGGCTAAGGGCCTTCAGGCTGATCAGACATATACTGTTTAATAAGTACCATGCACTGTGGCACAAAGGTGAAAGGGAGAACACGGCACTGGTAAGCGAAAACACCTTCAGAGGAAAGATTTAAAGTTTGGAGTGAAAATATCATGATGAAGGATATTATGTGGTGATTCATATAGGGGCCTTCCCACTTTTTAAATTTATTTAAGTAAGATTTTAACATCCTATATTGATACTGTATGATGACTTGACCTGTGCTGTTATAGAGAATGCCAGTAATATGGATAATGTTTCAATTTTGAAGGAAATTTCTAAACACAGTATTTTAAAATTCTGGATCATTGTCAGTTTTTAGACACTGAGGGGTCCCCATCACAGCAAAGCATGTCAATAGATGTTGAATAGAATTTTGCCATTAATTTTTTGGTGAGCTGTGGCATAGAAGAAACCTGAATAGGTGTCTATGGATACGTATAAATACTTAAAACACCCAAAAGGCATGACTTGGGTGACATCAACCTGCTAGGTATGATTGACCTTATCACCACAACGACTGGAAAAATGGCCCACCATAGGAGGGCAGGCAAAGGAAAATAAATTGCAAATAGTACATTCCTTGATGATATAGGAAGCCTTAGCTTTGGAGAGTTGGAAACAATGGCATAAAGCCAAAGCATTGCAATGATGCAAGTCATGGAATATTCAAGTGTAAGAAAAATCATTAACCACAAAAGAGGATTACAGTAAAGTTGCAGTGGTATCAGTTGCTTCATTGCCTTTGAATAGAAAAACTGGTAGTCCAGTATGTGACTATAGATGAATAATAAAAAAAGGAGCAGAACACTGAGGAATGGCTCTCTGGATGGCAAGAAAATATTGCATATGGATTTTATCAGGGGCATTTTATAGAAAGGAGTCCACTAAGGATGGGCACTGTCAAGGCTGTGTAACTAGAATTAGAGACAATACTAAGCAGTGTGTCAGCTCACAGGGATAAAGCTGTGTTGACTTCGGTGGACTCTGCATGTCATGTAGTCTTATGTGGGAAAGTACGGAGTGAAGGCTGCGTTCCATCAGCAAACCAGGCCAACACTTCTTTACCTATTTTACCAGATCCCTCTGTAAAGACAGTGAATGCTACTTCAATGGGTTTTGCCTTTAATACCAGAGATCGTAAAAACATATGTGAAGAGAGAAACTTTAGTAAGAGTCTCCTGCCATATGACTGTGGATACAGTCACAGAAATCAGCAAGAAATGCTTGCCATTCCAAGCTCCTCATTAATAGCTGAAAAAGAGTATCCTATGGAAAAGGGATGATAATTTCATGGGGATCTACTCCAGTGAGTTGTACACAGCATTGTCATCCTTTGGATACCAACTGTACTGTAAGGAATAAGATAGGATTAATTACCTTGGGGTAACTAGTGGGCAGGAAAAGCCATTCTACAGGAATACTCAGGAACTGAGTATCATATTGAGCTGCAAGACTGGAGAGGGCTGTGATTTGTGTGGAAAAGCATTAAAAATATAATAATAGAGGGTGAAATATGCTGTATAAAAGGTGAGGAGATAGCTGTCTATACTAAACATAACTCATGCTATACCTCGAGTGTTAAGAAATGGGAAGGAGAAGGATCTGTGGACACCTGCAGAGTAGCAATTAGATTGGATAAGGGTGTGTGGGTATGCCCAAGTATGGCCATAGCCAATTAGTATCCCTTAGAAGCTGCACTGAGGAAAGTGTCCATGATAGTGGGATTGTAATAGAGAATTTTAAGGGTTTAATGTATCTTTGACAAATCCCAAATATTTCTGAGGTGGCAAATGCCGAATTTTCTCCAGGGCAATACATAGGCTATGTCTGGATGTTTATGTTATTAGCACACAAATGACTAGCATGTCTGCTGAAGTAAGATATCATCCATATAATGATAGATTAAGGCATGTGGAATTGTTCACAAACTTGAGGAATGGCCTGATGTACCATTATTGGCACATAGTAGGACAGTTTTTCATTCCTTGCAGAAGACATTTCCATTGATATCTAGATAAAGGTTGTTGGTTATTATATATAGGGAATGAAAAAGCAAAATTTACCCTATCTTGAGGGTGTAAAGGAATGGTGAAAAAACAGTCCTTAAAATCAATGATGATTAAGGGCCATCCTTTTGGGATCATGGTTGGCTTTGGGAGACCTATTTGTAATGGTCCTAAAGGTTGTAAGACTATGTTAATGGCCCTGAGGTCTTGAAGTAGCTGCCATTTTCCTGATTTTTTTCTGAGTGGTAAAGATAGGGTGTTCCAGGGGCTAGTAGATGGCTTAATATGCCCAACTTCCAATTGTTCTTGAACCACATTTTGTAAGTGTTTCAGTTCTTGTCTAGATATGGATCACTGTTCCACTCACACTGGACTGTTTGTAATACAAGTTAATTTAATGGGGGAATGTCAGGTGGTATAGCAGAAATAGCAGCCTCTATTGAAAAATGTTGGTTATTCAAGAAGAGGCCCGATTGTTGCAAAGCATCTTTCCCCCACAATGTATAGGGGATTGGAAGGATAAAAGATTTAATAGTTTTTCCATCAGGTTCCTTAGCTGGAAGGATATAAATATTAACCTTTGGGCCACCAACTCCCTCTAATGAATTAGAGGAGGGAGCCTTAAACCAGTCAGAGGGCCCGTGTGAGAGAGATATAATAGTACAGTCAGACCTGGTATCCAATATTCCCATTAAGGAGAGACCTCTTACTGTGGCAGGTCTGATTTTAGTGATGGGAAGCTAGGTCTGATTTTAGCAATGGGAAGCACCTAAAAAACCTCTTCCCTAGTACAATGAAATCCCCCTGTTCCCCTTTCTCTGGGTATAGCCTTACTGGATAAATATGGGATAAGAATAAATTGTGCAATTTGGGTTTGTACAGGCAGTACTTGATAGGTTTTAGATTGTAACGTGACCTGGATTTCCCCACAATAATCAGAATTTATCACTCCTGGTAGTACAAGAACACCCTTGGAAGATCATCCTGATTGACCCAGCAAAAGCCCAATGAAACCCTTAGATATGGGGCTATATATTCCAGTGGGCACCTTATATATTTTATCTGTGTCAGTAAGAATTAACTCATGTTGGACGACAGCATTTGGAACTAGGTCCATAGGCTAGAGTACATAGGCTTGGGAACAGCACAGAAAATGTGTTTACATCTTGCGGCTGCAAGGCTATAGCCTACCTCCCAGTCACACCACACTCCATCTGCAGAGTCCTTAGCTGACCTGTCAGGATGACCACATCTACTGCCTAGATGCAAAGCACTTCATATATACATTTTCAGTACTGACTCCCACAATCTACACCACTATGCATGAGACATATGGAAAATAGGAGGTGCAAGCCGGGCACAGTTGTGCATTCATTTTGCCTCAATGCTCTAATGTTCTGGGTGACCATCCAGAAAATGACCTTGAAATTCCAGTGCTTTCAAGGAACTATTGGATTCTCACTTTTCTCTACCAGCAGACACTGGGCAGTGGTGCTCTCCAAAAATTGTGCTTTATCACGGATCTATTACTTTTATAAGCAGGCACGTCTGAGGGCTGGTGATTTAGCTCAGCTGCACAGCGTCCGCCTGGCAAGAGCGAGATTGTGAGGTCGATTCCCAGTACCGGAAAAAAAAAAAAAACACCAAAAAAACCCAACAACAACAAAAAGAAGTCATAGATAAGCAGGCATGTCTTTTTTAAAATTTTTCTTTTTGTGTGTTTTTGAGACAGGATCTTGCTATGCAGTTCAGGCTGGCCTTGAGCTCACTTTGCAACCCAAGCTGGTCTCGAACTCGCAACGATCCTCCTGCCTCAGCCTCCCCAGTGCTGGGATTACAGGCGTGCGCCACCACGCCCGGCTTACAGGCACGTCTTAATCAGTTTCTTGTGGACCAAGCAAAGTGCGAGGGACTGGGGCTGCAAAAATAAACAGCTTCTGCAGGTTCTCCTATAATTATCCTAAATTGACTTAATGTACGCAGTGGCAGAAAGTGCAAAATGTGACTTTTACAAAGGAACCCACCATTGCCACAGAAATGTCCAGCTGCGCGAGTAAATAAATGACCCTTGAACCACCCACGCTCACCATCCGCAGCACCGGCCAAGAATTAGAGCAGACATCATTGAGTATGGCTGCCAACCACTGGTCATCTCAAGGCAGTTAGGTTCCAATGGCTATGAAATGCCGAGGGTGCCTAAGCAGGGCTTGTTCAGAGTGAATCTTGGAGATCCACATTTTCGTAACAGGGCAAGATATGTCTGTTTATTGCACAGACCCCTAATACAGGGGATGGTTAAGTGTGCTTAGGATGAGGTGAATGTGCACCCTTAAGACTAAAGCAATAGAAGAGGGAGGGAAGGTGAGCTCTCCCAAGGATTCGTCCTAGTCAGAAGGAACGAGGATCGGGCCAATCAGAAAGGGTGGAGCTGCCTGTGTGGGAAGGCCGGGTCTTCAATGGCGTCATCAAGGCGCCTTGCAAGGGGCTGGGGTCTTAAGCGGAGACCTTGGACGCAAATCCTGGAGCTAGCGCGGCTGGGGGTGGGGTGGGGGAGGAGCCCGGCACCGCTGGTCCAATCAGAAAGGGGAGGGGCAGGGCTTGGGGCGGGGCCTGCGACCGGAAGGCGAGCGGCCGGCTTCCGCGCGGGAACGCTGACTTCTGCTGGGGCGAACGGCGGTTTCAGCCCGGGAACCGCGGTGCTGGAGCCTTCAGGCCTCCGGGTGAGGACCTGCGGCCCTGCCGGCGGGGCACGATGGGCGCGGGAGGCCCCGGGCGCGCGCGCCG